CAGCTGAGGCCCTCAATTTTGACTTCTAGCCTACTAGACTGTGAGAAAATAAACTTCTGTTTGTTAAAGCCATCCACTTGTGATATTTCTGTTATAGCAGCACTAGATGACTAAGACGATATGTTATTCTAACGTTGTTGTTAGGTGCCGTCGAGTCAATTTTGACTCATGGGGACCTCATGTGGCAAAGTAGAGCTGTCCAGTAGGGTTTTCTAGCCTGTAATCTTTATGGGAGCAGATGGTCAAGTCTTTCTTCCGTGGATCTGCTGGATGGGATCGAACCGCCAACCTTTTAGTTGGTGGCAGAGTGCTTAACCGTTGTGCCACCAGGGCTCCTTAGTATAACATAATACTATAAAACTATGCCATAATATATAATGTTAGGGTTTGATTTGGAGTATTACTACTAAAAAACACTACATATATATACATATAGTCAACTGCCAGAATACTGAGATTTACTATTGCATTTAATTCTTGTGTTGCAGCTGTGGAGTATGAAATTACCATAACTACAGTTAAAACATACTACTATTCCACTCCTTGGTATGAACCCAAGGAAATGCCTGCATATGTGCTCACCAAAAGAAGCAATATTAATAATAACTGAGAATTGGAAACACTCCACATCTCCATTTATTTTAAAATGGATAAAGAGTATGGTATGCATACAATTAAATACAACATAGCAATGAAAAAGAATGAACTGCTGCATGCAGAACAGGATGAACTTCCAAACAAAATAAGCACACATAAAAAAGCTACATACTGTACGATTCCATTTATGTAAAGTTCAAAAAATCCAAACTTTATCTGTGATGTTAGAAGTCAGGGTATTGTTAAATTTGCTTGGGGGCAGGGTCATGACTAGAAACGATTAGGAAAAGGGTTTCTGGAGTTCTGGTAGTATTCTGCTTCTGGTCTCATGGGTGTATTGCCTCTGTGAAAATTCATCAAGCCATTTATTTAATACTTGTCCATTTTTCAGTAAGTATATTATTTATATGTCAGTGCAACTTATCTTAAACAGAAAAAAATTGCTACTGATAACTTCCTGATAAACATGTTACACTTTAATAAATTTTATGTTAAAAAATACCACTGATAAAATTCTTGGTTTGTCCAAAGCAAAACCCACTGCTATTCATTAGAATACAAGTTTTTTGTTGGGTGCATGTCCTACCTGTCTCATCTCTAGTCATGTGGGCTCTGGCGAGTATTTCTATAGTCTTTTTATGAAGACTAGGTCCCTGAGTGGCACAAACGGTTTGCAGTCAACTCCTAAGTGAAAGGTTGGTGATTCAAACTCTCCCAGTGGAGCCATAGAAGAAAGGCCTGGTGATCTGCTTCCATGAAGATTACAGCTAAAAAAAAAAAAACGCTATGGAGCAGTTCTACTCTGTAACCCATGGGGTAGCCATGAGTCAGAATCAACTTGATGGCAGCAGATTCGGTTTAATTTGGTTGGGTCTTTATAAGGACTAGCTCAGGATAAGTCTTGGAGTAGCAGGCTTTTCTATGTGTACGTGAGATCTACCCAGTCTTCACAGTAGTGTGGAAAGGAGCCTGGATCTACTGATGCCTCCTTGCTAAGCATCATAATTTGAAACTTCATGGCCATCATCAAAGTCCAGGTCTTTCATGGGTTATTGCTACACCATAAAATCAATGATCAGGGACTAGACTCTCTACTTTTGTGTTAAAAGGTATCTGTCATGGTTTGAACTATGTCCCCCCAAAAAATGTGTGTATCAGTTTGGCTAGGCCATGATTCCCAGAATTGTGTGGTTGGCCTCCATTTTGTGATTGTAGTTTTATGTTAAAGAGGATTAGGGTGGGATTGTAACACCACCTTTACCCAGGTCACATCCAATGTAAGGGGAGTTTCCCTGGGGTGTGGCCTGCACCACCTTTTATCTCTCAAGAGATAAAAGGAAAGGGAAGCAAGCAGAGAGATGGGGACCTCAAACCGTCAAGAAAGCAGTGCCGGGAGCAGAGCGCGTCCTTTGGACCAGGGTCCCTGCGCAGAGAAGCTCCTAGTCCCGAGGAACACTGATGAGAAGGCCAACAGAGAGAGAAAGACTCCCCCTGGAGCTGACTTCCTGAATTTGGACTTTCAGCCTACCTTACTGTGAAGAAATAAATTTCTCTTTGTTAAAGCCATCCACTTATGGTATTTCTGTTGTAGCAGCACTAGATGACTAAAACAGTCTCTTAACAACATTTCAAGTGTGAAATAGAAGAGTCAAGGTACTGCTCCTCCTGTACACCCAATTCATAATTTATAGGGAGGATAGCTGGGTTGTGAAAAGAAGCATGTTGCTGTTTTTTAGCTTCCTCAGCAGTTTCCACAGATGTCTCTCTGCATAGATTTAAGCAAAATCCCACACAGACAAATTTTAGGCTTTCAACCTTGCCTCTAATGATTCACAAGGAACACATTCAGGCCTTAGAAAGTTCCCTGAGAGTTTCAGAGAAGAAAGAAAAAGAAGAGGCACAGTTTAAAAAGAGGTACACGATCTAAACTAGCAGCAGAATGGTCTGTCACTAGATCTAATTGCACTAAATTAGAGAGGCATTGACAGTAAAGTTGGTGAACTTTGTTTCTGGAGAACTTATCTGAAAACAAAACTCTCTTGCTACTAGAGGGGGTTTGCCCTTGGAAAGAAAATGGAAGCTATGTGTTCTTGAAATAAAATTTTCTAAGTGCCTCTTGGGACACCTGGCAAGAACATGGACAGATAACCAGGGAATGTGAGCTCCTTGTCCATTCTCCTTCCTCTGTGGTCTTGGTGGTCTGAGAATCAAAGGTTGTGTTAAGTCAGGGAATCATACTTAGAATGCTTTTTCTCCTATCTTCTTTATGGTCTGTTATCAAAATTCAAGCGTTCTCTCATTATTATTGGTCATTATCATTATCTTCTAATTTTTCTTCTTTTTCCCATATAATTAAAAAGTATTTTGTGCTTATTGGAGAGAATTAGAAAATAGAGAAAACTGGAAATATTTTCTGAACCTACAAGATGTTGATATACTTCTTTGTGGCCTTTAAGAAGCTTAAATATTGAAGTTTTTTTTAACACAAAGAAAAGTATAGAAACTATGGCAGACACCCATGCACCTGCCACCCTATTTTCAGGCATGTGAGCATTTTCTATATTTACTTCAGATCCCTGTTAATAAAAAAAGAAATAAAATACTAAATACATAACTGAAGTCCCATTTTATTCCTATTCCTTCCTAGAGATGGTATGTATCACTTCTGGGCATACTTTTTCAGATAGATAGATAGATAGATGGGTAGATGGATGGATAGATGGATGGATGGATGGATAGATAAAATTATTTCGGGTATTTTTAAAGTAGGCATAAAGCGCCTCCTTAGCAAACTTACCGCTCACACACTACTGCAAAGCTTAAAGCACTTGCACATATATCACCTCATTTAAACCTCACAAGAAACTCCTAAAAATTTATTATTCTAACCCCCCACTTTAGAGTGAGAAATCTGAGGCAGAAAGATTTTCAGTTATTGCTTCAGTTACACAGGTGGTTAGCACAAAAATTAGGCTCAATCCTTGTAGGCTTTTCATTCACCAGACTGCATTTTCATCATAAATTTTGGTTCAGGGTTTATCTTTACAGAGCATGGGTTAGGAAAGTTGCTTTCTGGAGCTCACAACCTTCTATTTATGTGAGCTTATTCTTTCCAACTAGAATGTAGTGTATCTGAAGTCAAGGAGCATATTTTAAGCTACTTGGCACCCCTCTCGGCCACTCAGACAATCAGACAGTTAGCAAATGTGCAATTAATAGCTGTTGACTTGAAGGACTTAAGAGCAGTTAATGAAATACAGGCGTTACTAAGCCAATTGGTTCTCTAGCACATATCTTGTGAAGCATTGTATATCCTAGGACATTTCTTACACACCAAAACCTACAAACATTCCTATCACCACCATCCTAATTGATGACCTTTAACTGACTTTAAGGGGTCCCTGGGTGGTGCAAACGTTTAAGCACTTGAATATTGGCCAAAAGATTGCAGGGTTGGAAGCCACCCAGTGGTGCCTTGGGAGACAGGCCTGGCAATCTTCTGAAAGAGTTGGAATCTTCTGGACAGCAACTAAAAACATCAATTTACTTTGAAGTCAAGGGATTATGAACCATGTTAAGACAATGCATTTTGTAAACACAAAAGAAATACTTCCTGGCATTGCCTTCTGGAACAGAGTTGAAATAAACAACTTTGGATTATTCAGTGCTATTTGTTTCCTATCAAATAAGCAAGGATAAGTTTATTTATATCGGTTAATACAGAAGTGTAGATTAAATGCTATATAAAGCTTGAGACCCTTCTAGAGGGGATATAAAGAGCAGGAAGGAGTTATACATTTCTGAGAATAAGTTAACACACAAATGATCAGTCTTAAATAGGCCATAGAAGCTTTCCCTCTATGTCTAGGTAGATTGAACCTAAAATGGTGCAGTATTTCTGTGGAAAGAGGTACTACACTTTGCCTTAAAGTACCTGCTCCAGTTCTTTACCGCTTTGAATAACTATGGTAGACCCTTAGTCCCTAGAGCTGTGTTCTGCAGCAGAAGTAAAGAACACTTAGTGATGAATTACTCTTCAGTAAGAATGATCAGGTTTCTAACTCTGCTTCTTTCCTTAGAGTATAAGACTCCTGTCTGCAAGGGAAAGCAAAGGAGTAGGGATCTGAAACTCAGCCCAGCCATCAGCCATAGATGCAGATTTCCATCCATTCTTAGCTTTAGACCAGACCCAGCCTATACTCCCAGCCTTCTACCCTAATTGAGTCTCAGTCCAGAGCCAGACTTGATTGACAGCTCTGAGCCCCTATACTCACCCCCAAACCATTCAATGCCCCAGTCTCAACCTCAGTTCTACTCCTCAGGCCCCGTTCAAATCCATTCCCTTGTTCCTGAATTCCCAACAGTCAGTGGCTATTAACACATCCAACCATCATCCACATCTAATCCCCTTGTCTCTTAAGTACTTACCCACAATCCTGCAGCCAGTCTTCAATCTTATTGATGGGATTCCCTAGAAAAGTCAAACACGAGATCACTGTGAGGGCTGAAGGAAGCCAGACCTCTTCCCTGCAACTCACCCCATTCTACAGCTCTTCCCCACCCACAGCTTATTATTATATAACCCATACCTTGAATCTTTTTATTTCCTACAAAGTTTTCTTTAAGGTTTGAGAGTAATATACCTATGCATAAAAATAGTACATATTTCCTCTCTCTCTGCTTCCCCACCCCTTTCTTCCCAGGAATCTGAAAAATGGCCAGATTGTTAGGCTCACTGCTCTCCTTTCTCCAAGGTTTAGGGGCAGGAGTAGATTCTTCTGCTTTAAAAACAAACAAACCAAAAAGCACAGCCCTTATGTATATAATTTATTTATTTTTACTCTTATGTCTGTTATCTCACTTGAATCTAAAAGAAGCTCTAAGAAGTACTATAGTAATAGTAATAGGAAGAGGAATAATAACAGGTACCATTACTTCAATTGGACAATTACGGCTCAGGCGAGTGACTTGCCAAACGTCACATAGCTTGTGAGTGATGGAGTTGTGGTCAGAGTCCAGGCATCCAGATTGAGTGTAACCTTGTTACACAGTCAGAATAGAAACACCCTGAAGCCATTGTTAGAGCATCTCCTCCATCCTCAGTTCTTACAGACACTTTCTCAGGAGGATGCAAAAACTTGGCCTTTTCTTTTTTCTGATCATATGCCTCTTTTCTACATAATGCATACCTTGTATTATTTTACTCCTCTTTCCCTAAACTCATTTAAAACAGTCAAAATGAGCCTCATTGTGGGCCCACTCTCCTCAACAAAGTGTACCCACTGCCCATCGCTCTGCAGACCTGTGTCTGCTGTCACGTTTCCTCCACCACAAGACAACATGGCAGACCAGCTGATGTCTAACAGCCTCTTACCTTCCTGGAAAACATTATCCAGACTGGAAGGCTCAGCTTCTGAGACATCCTGCAGGGCAGCTGCAGCCTCCTCTTCCAGGACCTGGGTCTGCCAGTGACGGCTCTGACGGAGCCAGGCCCGCCGTTTCTCCCAGGATGTGGGGCTGAGCACAGAGCCCTCCATGGCCCTGGCTCGGACTTCAGGGCCTCCTGCCACAGTGATGATGTCCTGAGAGTTGAAATACAGCGACAATTCCCTCATCCTCTGTTCAGAAATCACCTGTCAGAGTTGCCCCCCAAATCTTCCCGTCTCTGGACAAAAGACCTTGACCTCCCAGCCCATTTAGGAGAAGGGAGGAGATGCTTAATCCATCTTCTTTCTTCCAAAAAAAAAAGGAAGGTTCTGAAAAATCTAAGTATCTAGGCAAGTCTTTCAAATCAGTAAGTCTGGAAACTTTGAACATGATTTAGGGGACATTGAGAAATCTTTTCTGGCTTAAAGATTCTCTACTTTTAATGATAGCTGAAATGCTATGTTAGAAAACATTTTTTTTTTTTAACCTTTGAGGATTTTGCATCTCAGAGTCCTCCATTAAAATGAAAATATCTATAAATTTACAATATATAAAATTCACTTTATTTTATCCTTGTAAAGATAATCGAGGAGCTCAAAGGTTAAGCAGCTTGTCTAAGGTCCCACACCAGGGTATCACTCTAACCATAGTAGTTCTGGATTTTGTTTGTTTTAGTTCTGATTTGTTTTGTTTTGTTTCCTGCTTTATATATTAACAATTTATATAAGATTTCTCTCAGGAAAAAAAAAAAAAAATCCCACTACTAAAACAACACGGGGACACTGCCTTAAGCAATTAGCATCTAGGACGCTCAAGACCTTCACTTTCTAACTTATCAGCCGGTCAGTTTCCCAGTTGATCAATGCAATTTCTGACCCTAAAGATTTATATTTCATAATTCTTGCCTTCTGTTCAGGAGACCTGCGTTTGACTCCCGGCCAATGCACCTCATGCACAGCTACCATCTATCTGTCAGTGGTTGCTATGATGCTGCACATGATTCAGCAGAGCTTCCAGACTAAGACGGACTAAGAAGAACGGCCTGGGGATCTCCTTCCAAAAATCAGCCAGTGAAAAGTCTATGGATCACAAAGGTTCGATCTGCAATCAATCGCGGGGTTGGTGCAGGTCCGGACAGTGTTTTGTTCTGTTGCGCATGGGGTTGCCATGTGGCAGGGGCCAACTTGAAGGTGGCTAACGACAACAACAATCAACAGCAAGTCTATATTTCTTAGTTAATTTACTCATTCATGTGGCGTTTATGAGAGGTAGCTGTTAGGAAATAATGGTAGGTGGAGAGAGCCACTAAAAGAAGGGGCAGGACAACAAAGACCACTGTTTCCAACATACCTATTAAATGAAGAGCTAGTCCTAACCAAGCCTTCTCACTCTGAGCCCAACCCATTCCTTTTGCTCCCTGCAGCTGCTACCCACCCCCACCACCCATACACACACAAAGCTATTATGTAGGGCAGGCCCACCGGTCCAGCTCCCACTGAGACCCTTCCATTTCCCTCTCTCCTGAGTTATTGTTGCAGAAGAGAGACCTGGAAGGCAGGAACAGGTCTTCTGCTTGCTTAAAACACTCCCTTACGCCTACCACACCACCTTGATTTATATAATAACAAACTAAGTCTCTGGTTTCTGTCTTGCGGTTAGAGGAATGGTAAACGCTGTTAGTGATAGGTCACGTACGTAATGATGGCATGAGGCATTTATTCAACAGAAAGAAAGAGAGGTATCCATGGCTTGTCAACAAGCCCCCAAAGGGAAGATCTAGTTTTCTTTTAGCGGTAGCATGAAAACTGAGATTCAAACATCAAGGAGGAGAGGGGAAGTAAATATTTCCTGTGGGAACTTCTCCTCAGGTCTTTCACCTCTCTTAGCAAACCAAGTCCAGGTCCCTTCCCCTTACTCTAATAAGTGTGCTTGGGGAGTAATATACTGATACAACCATGAACAAACAGGTCATCTTTCATTTCCTCTTACATGACATACACTTTCCTACCTCGGCGCTGCTGTACCCACTAACAGTGCACTTGGCTAACAGCTCCTCATCCTCCAGGTCGCAGCCTAAAAGCCATTTCTTTACGACAACTTCCCTGAATCCCAGTCTAAATTGGGTCCCCTCTCATAACCTCTCATAGCATACTACATTTTCCTTCAAACACTCACAACAATTTGTAATTGTAAATAATTTGTATAATTTTAAATTTAATTCCCCCTCCACTAGAGAGTAAGTTCAATGAGACTCTTTATTTTATTGGTTATCCAAACCTAGTTGAATGCATGGTCAACAAATATTTCGAATGAGTTACTATAATTCACCTTTAATGAGTGTCTCTTGTCCCCTGGGTACTCTGCATTATGTATACGTTATCTCATTTAATCCTAAGAATAGGTCTGTGCAAGTAATAGCTTCCCTCATTTTTAAGAGAACTTATTCAAGGTTCCATAGCTTGAATGTTGGAGAATCTATTGCCCAAAGCATATAATATCACACATATTTACTCTTTAAGTCACAGACCAAGATGATTTTCTTCAGGGAGAATTTCCAAATTAATTGATTTACTTAATCCTCCAGTTTATCAACATAATTTCTGACCCTATAGATTTATATTTCATTTAACACTGCCTAATCAACACCTCTGCATTACTTCTTGTTTCATTTATTCATTCACATGAAGATTCCTTCAAACAATACGTAATGATGGAACCAGGCACTTATTCAAGAAGGAAGAAAGAGAGGAAGACTCATTCAGTTGTCCAAAAAGAGCTTTAAAAGTCTTCAGGCTAATGTATATTCAGTCACTTGTAACTGTCCTCTTGCCTCTTCCCCACCTGCCACCCTCACACCCCACTACAGTGAATAAGCAGAAGGCAGACAGTTACTCTCCACTTTCTTTTCCCTCTATTCCTTTGAGCTCCTGTAAACAACTTCATCTTCATAGCTTCAATTTTACTCTGTTGGGATAAGGGAGAATAAAAGGGAAATAAATAAGAAGAGTGCCAGATACCAAAGACTTCTGTTCTTTAAACACTTAAAAACAAAATCATTAGTGAGGGCACTCAACAATTTAAGCATTAAATAAGCTGTTTTGGAGAAGAACGCCCTGAACATGAAATGCATTAAAACAATAAAGTTGTTTTGGATGTCTCTGTTTGCTAAAGGCAAAATATATCGAGAGAAAATTAATATATAATTACAATCTGATCTAAATTCTTTTACTTCAGGTCAAGCCCAAGACATATTTTTCTCCCAGGAGATACAGCAGTTGGCTCTAGGAGTCTTTGCTTATTAACCCTGGGCACGTGGCCTATTGTCCACTGACTATGTCTTCTCATCATTGCTATTGGGGAAATTATATGGCTGAATTAAGCTATGTCATAGGGAAGCCAGAAAATGGGACAGGGACATCAGAAATGACTAATGTCCTTTGGTCAGAGCTGTTATGAGGTGATAAAGAGAGGATGAAGCTGCCACTAGAAACAATTTAGGAAAAGAGATTAAAAAGCCTTGATCAGAGCTTATTTACCTAGTCCAGTCCCCTCAAAATATTTAATGGGTATGTTCTAGTCAGCCAAAGAAGAAAACGTCAAAGAAAATTTGTCTATTGTCTTCAATGCCCAGAGGAAACGGATCTCATCCAAATCACAAGGAAATTTCAGCTCACAAGAATCTGTCCTCACAGGCACTTTTTTGGGTGGTTAGGGAAATTTGTAAGGGAGGAAGGAAGGAAGAAGGGGTCTAACTCTCACACTTCACTCCTCAATTCTCTTAATGGTATAACGTTGAACACTCAATTCTTTTCTCTGGTTTCAGTTTTTCAACAAGGATATTGAAAAAAAAAAAAAAAAAATAAGGAAAAGCCAGTTGCCCTCAAACCAACTCCAACTTGTGGCAACCCCATGTGTTGCAGAATAAGATTGCTCTCCAAAGGGTTTTCAGAAAATGATTGCCAGGTCTTTATTCCAAGGTGCCTCTAGGTGGACTTGACCCTCCAACCTTTTGGTTAGCAGCCAAGCATGCTCTGTTCGCACCACCCAGAGTCTCCAACAAGGACATTACAGCCCTAAAATTTGATGGTTCCCGTACTATAAATTTCTGGATTTGGCATTTTACAGCTGAACCACCATACGCCTAGCACAGTGCCAGAATCTTACTAACTGAAATGGTAGATGAAGGCTTTAGGCACTAGATTTTCAACATCCTCTGTGGTATGAATCTATTCTACATTCCTCTCACATCTTCGAAAATATATCACCTCCACCCCCTGGAAATTCATAAACTCCTTGTTAACGCCAGCCCATAGTGGTTAAGGGCTGTGGCTGCTAACCAAAGATCTGCGGTTTGAAACCCCCAGCCACTCCTTGGAAACCCTATATGGCAGTTGTACTCTGTCCTGTAGGGTTGCCATGAGTAGGAATCAACTTGCTAGCAGAGGTTTGGTTTGGTTTTGGTTTTCTCATATTCTTTTTCCCTCCCCCTTCCTGCTGTTCTGTCTTTGCCCCCACTCAACTTGCAAAGCCTAGCTCTTAAGCACCTTTTTTCATGAAGCCAGGCCTGGCCTCTACAACCCACTTTATTTATTTTTGTTGGGTTCCTTCCCTGCTTGATTTTTCCTTCTTAGTTCATATCGCTAACATAATTTATATTGTATTTACTTATCTCATTTATTGTTACTCTTTTGATCAGAGTATAAGCTTCATGAGGACAGAGGTTTTTGTCGGGGTTTTTCATGGCTCCGTCCCTAATGCCTAAAACAGCACCCAACACACGGTAGCTGTTTATCCAATATTTATTTTCTAAATGAATAAATGTCTAATAGGTGACTATTCCCCACAGGAGCCTAGTACCTTACACAGTCCTCATAGACACACGTAGGGAAATAAATCTGCTGCAAAAGTGTAATAAGAAGCTTAGAACTATGTGCTTACCAATCATGTAAAAATGTCTTAGGCTGAAATTTGGAGAGAAGAGATGAGTTTAAGGGTTATTATGTGGTCCTAGGAGTTCCTATAAATAATTTTTAAAAAAGTTGTACTTTCTTGACTATTCCTGTATATGGTCTATCTCTATTGCTGATGCGCTGGAGTTTTACTGAAAATACCTATGAAAACCAGAATCCTCACTGCTTAAGAATTCCAAATAACG